TAATAATAATAATAATAATAATAATAATAATAATAATAATAATAATAATAATAATAATAATAATAATAATAATAATAATAATAATAATAATAACAATAATAATAATAATAAAAGTAATGATAGTGTATTGATGCCTTTTTTGTAAAATTCTTAAAATGCTAAGTTGAATTTTATCATCATGTTTGCTTGTGAATAAAAAGGGACTTCATAATTTGGTTATAAATTCAAATAAACAGAAATAAAAGAATATAGTGCATCATTATTTCAGATCCATAATAAAGATCGGACCTTATGTGACCCGCCTATTGCTCTTAGTTTACCTCCAACACCGAAAAAACGTGAAATTAAACATAAAGAAACGATCGATGAAGATCGAGCAGAAGAAGCATCTGAATGCCTTCTTTATCCATTATTATTTCCTCCAAAACTTGAATCAGTATCACATGCTCCTATTTTATCCTCGCCTTATACTCGATCCATCGATGGATTAAGTAAAACGGAAATGAAAAATCTTCCTATCAACAGTCAATTATCCACAATTACATCACGTAAAATTCGTACGGTAAACACTCCAACCATGTCAGAATTGGCAAGGTAGGTAGATGCAAATATCGGTATCAAATATTATGATCACAACCTTATCTAGCATTGAAATCAAATTCAAAACAAACATTTAATCTAAGTCTGTAATAGATTACTGAAATTCATTACAGATTAATTAAAATTAATTCATCAGCAAAGGAAAAACGAGGGACAGATGGAGGACGATTGCTGAAAAAGAATTGTTCCATTCATGAATGTGTCTATCCTGGATGCTATAAGAAATACAGTAAAAGTTCTCATTTGAAAGCTCACATGAGGATACATAGTGGTGAAAGACCGTACCGTTGCAGTTGGCCATCATGTCTATGGAGATTCGCAAGAAGTGACGAGTTGACAAGGTAATATCTGAATTGTTTGGTGACAATGCGTTTGAAAATTCTAACAAAATATTTCGCTTTCGTAACAAATAATATGTGAGTACTACTATACCTGAATTGAAGTAACATGTCTTCAGTAACTATTTAACTTCCAGTGGCATGCTTCAGTTGTGCATCCAATTTTTAGTATAACTCACTCTCTTTTAAAATATTTCGAGAAGCCATTTACTGAACTTTTTCAGGCATTATCGAAAGACATACCGGTGACGTCCATTTAATTGTACCTT